TGCTCAATCATCTCATGGTAATTATCTACTTTGCCGTTTCGTGAGGTCGGCAAGTTGCAACAATGGCATTCATTAACAACAATGATGATGGCAGCAGTTCAACAGCAAGCAGGAGACGACAACGACGACAACAACACCAACAAAAACAATAATAATCAACTCTCCAGTACAATTGCATGACTCGGGTCGCTACCGGGATCCATACCCTAGTCTAATCGAAGCCAGGTTCCGGAAGCCATCCATACTTTTCCATGGCTCCAGCGCATCTGGTCCGTGCGGGTCATTATCGGCTTTAACATGAAACATCGTTTACAACGGGATTCCATGGGACCGTTCATGGGGCCTCCTTGGTCATCTCACTGTCTTCGATAAGTCCATGTGCCCAATTCCTCTCAACTCCCTTCACCCCCCTGAGACATACGCGTATTGGACTTGCAATCTAGTACGGAGATAGATGGTACTCATATTAATGAAGTGAAGAGTTCATCCATACAATGACAGAAAAAGGGGCTGGAAAAGGGGAAGCATGGGAAAGTGACAATGAAACCGAGAGACACTGAACACACGTACGATCGGTAACGATGCCGTGGATATGAAATCATGACTCTCAGGGCCGTGATCCGGTCAGTATTTTGACGTCTATGCTCCAGCCATCATCGATCTGGCAGCTCTCACTCGGTAGAACCAGATCCTTGATCCCGGCAAGCCAAGCAGCGGTTATTTTGCTTTATCCGATCATCATCACCAGTCGGGGTCATCTACTAGTCACTACTCGGTAACTATCTTCTGAGCCGTAGCTGCTGGGTTACTGTGGTATCGCACCGGCCACCAGTACGCTATTTACCCAGTAGTTGCACATCGATCACGACTACTTCTCTAGTCTATACTACACTAGGCAATAAACATACATCGCCTGGTCTGTGGATGTCCCTGGGGTCCGACTGAAAAAAAAAATGATCGGCCTCACGATCCGTCCAGAAGGACCCTGACGACAAGTCATACACCTAGCCCTTCCCCCAACTGGGCCTCCTCTAATTTTACTAATTGGAACCAAATGGATAGGTCGTCTTCACACTTGATTGCATTATTGCTCTTTGAAACTTAAGGCAGCGTCCTATATGCGCGCACTGGCCCCAGCCATGACACTGCAATCTCGCATGACAGGTTTTTCTCGGGGAAATCCCAACTCCATCCGCGAACCCACAGCGCTGTCAAGCCGTCGTGCACTCCTGTCTCGAACAACAGGACCGAGCTTGATGAGATTATGCAGGAACTCCCCAGTGCAATTAAAGTTGCTGATCAAGGAGGGTTTTGTCCCCTCATAGCTTAAAGCTCTGGGTCACAATCGTCTAAAGGGGTTCTTTCATTATTCAGTACGCTGACTACCCTGAGCACCCGAGGAGGACCCGATGTGGCCACTTGCAGTTGTGCACGCAACTTTGCACGCGCCCTTACTCGAAAGCGTCAGAGGAATCCCCAGTCGCGGCTGCGGTGGATGCCCGGTGACCTTCAATTTCCGGTGGACGACGCTATCAGGCAGTCCCCAGCTTCCCACCTCTTCTTCACCCCCTCCCCTTAATATGCTGGCCGGTTCTGTGCAACACTTGCACCCATCAACGTATCCAGAACACCCCTGAACTCTGAAGAATGCAAACAGCAAAGAGGGGAGTGAAGGGGGCTATGCAATGGCCCCGCATGCAGACACAGAAAGGAGGGGCAGGAAAAGACAGCAGGGACAAGAAAGGAAAAGTAGGCGCGAAGGGGCCAACCATAGACGGATGCTGTCCTCGTTGTCGCCACAGACTAGGAGGAATATCTCGAAAGAGGATAGGGTGAGAGTTGGTACCGCTGACTATGAGTGGCTGCTGATGGTCGCAACCAAGTAGGTCCTTGGTGTCTCCTAGTAGAATGACGAAGTCAGGACGGTTGCATGCCAGCCTCAGGACCAGGCGCCGCAGGAGGCCAATCAATCCGACCATCATCCCCGCCGTAATCTCCCAGTTACCCCCTCGTGACTACCACCGCCTTCAGTTACCCCCTCGTGACTACCACCGCCTTCCTCCCATCCACCTGATCGCACCGTTCATGGCCTCATACTTCTTTCTGACTGGCACTAGGCCAAAGCAATGCAAACGCACTGGCTAAACCTGCAGTGGCTCAGGCAGCCAAGGTGCCTGCAAGGCATCTCTCTTAGTGTCGTGATTCGGTTGCATATACCCAGGACTACCATGGATCACTAACTGCATTGGTTCCAACGCAGGACCGTGTGTGACCCGATCGTCAGAAAGCGTCAGGTAAAAGCCAATCATAATCATGTTCATTGCCCCGGTCACTGCTTTTCATAGAGCGCTAAGTGGCGTTCTTCACATCGTTTGGTTGTTCTGGGGCAGCTGCTTCCACCGAATTAGCTGAAGCCTGTTCAGTGGCAATAGCGGAATTTTCATTTTCGGTGCTGGCAGCTCCATGCTCTTGCCCATGCCCAGTGGACTCGCTTCCCGCTGGTGGCTTCTCCGAGGCTTGAGGTGTACCTTCTAGAGCCTGCGGTGTACCGTCTGACTGCTGGGGGGTCTCGAACAGAATCTTCAGGTTTTTGCCGTCCTCAATCTTCTCAAACTCTGCAAGCTTGCTTTTCGCAGACAGCCGTAGTATGCGCCAGGTTTTGCTCGATTTTGACCGCATGGCATATTCTCTATCCTCTTTCGTCTGTGCGGTGTCAATATCTAACTCGTCGTCCATGATACCCATCATCAAGGAATCGGCAGCAGGGACGGAGAATCTTACGCCGCGTCAGCCCACCGCTAGCGGATAATTCTATGGTTCTGGGGCACCTACCTTTCCGGCTCCTTGAGTCTTTCCAGCCCTGCCAGCGATTCACCCTCGGAGAGAAACTTCAGGTCAAGTGACCCCATGGGAGAGGTACGGAGGCGCTTGTTTGCATAGACTTTTGTGGCATGCTCACGAGCGCCTAGGTATTCCGATACAGAAACGGGCGGCCTCTCGATCAACGGACAACCTTCTGCTTTCCAGCGCACCCAGTTCTTGTCCCTTGAAAGAACAGTATCCACCATACGGTAGTAGAATTTACCACCAATACCTTCCTGAAGATATTCCTCGATCGCCTTCCTCATCTTGACAGCCCATTTGGCCTGCTATCATTAGCATTCGTCCTCAACAACGGAACAGCACAAAACAGAGCCTTACGTCATCGTCATGCAATACAAATCCGTAAAGGACAGACTTGTTGGTCAAATCAGCTAGCTTGGCTTTTGCCTTTGGCGTAAGAGAAAGCATGAAATCAAGAAGGATGAGAGCCTGGACAAGTACATGTCTCCTGAATGCTGTGTCATTGACCTGCCATGATGTATTAGTGGACGGTTCGAAGGACTTGGATAAGCGTCGCGTACCTCGAGGTCGAACAAATCCCTGCTTGTCAGGTACTTAGGATTGAAGCTGCTCGCGATCTCTTGTCCATCGGTAGTCCGCTTCCGCTTGGTGGACTTTCGAATCTCCTCCGACATTTTGCTGTTGCTCGAGTTCTCGAGGTCTGTGTCCACATTCTTGAAAGCAGAAAGGGTCGCTTCCAGCCCGGTCTTGAATTTGGCAAAATGTTGAGGATCAAACGTCTTGGTCGGAGCAGAGAAGTAAGCCTGTAGGCCCCAGAACATGGGGTACAGATCATCAAGATCCACACCCTTATCCTGAGATTCGTCTTTACTGCTAGGAACGACCACCCGTGGGGTTTTTGGAGGTTCTTGCGCGGGGGTGTGGGATTCGCTCGCAGAGGTTGTTTGAGCTTCACTGTCCTCCTTCAGGCCATTGGTTGCTGTTGGTGCCTCTTGTTCATCTGACATCTCCACATCCGCATCGGCGACATCCTTTGCGGCAGCCTTGGTAAGTTCATCGTATGTAGTAACATTATCCGTATGGTATTCACCCCGGAGGTTGACAGCACTCTTATCACCGAGGGGGAAGCTCTGGAAGAGGAAGATGAACACGCGCCCGCAGAAGACTGTATCTTCAGCCCGCGAGAGCCGGCGCAGTAACTCGTTGCAGGACCGTAGGATAATTAAGCTCTTTTGCTTGAAATGTTTCTGGGGTGGTGTCAACATATGCGACGTAGGAGATGATGGTCCAACCAGCAAACCTACCTTAGTATTCCGCTCTCTTCGTGATTCTAGATAATCGAACACTTTCCGACAGCCGTCAATGGTTTGGCTGTCAAGTAACTCCTCGATCAGCCAGAATATTAAGCCGGGCTCACACTGCTCTGCGAAGATGTCAGGGCACCATTCGTAACCAATCAAGCCACCAAAACCAACCATTATCTGAGAATATTGAAATGATATCGAGTAGATTCCATATGCAGATGAACGAAGGGTCCTCGATCGAAGTAGAAGCCTGCGGCTCAATTCCTGATTAGCCATACTCTTACTTCTGCGACGTTGTTGTAGGATTCGGGATTTGGCTGTTGGGAGGTGATATCATACAAGAAGACTGTAGAACTTCTCCCGGAATGCAATTTCTACAGCAGCAAACTGAGTCTGCTGGCTGAGACCCTTTGCCAGCTGTTCATCGTCCCCCTGAATGAGCCAAATGGAATCACCGAGCTGCGATTCCGTCAGAGGGGGTTCGATGTGATTGTCCGGTTTGGCACGTTCTGCGCGGTTTAGGAGATCGTCAATCAACCTCCTGTAGGCGTGAATCGCGCCGACATCGACGTCCGCCATGCTTTAGAAGCCACAGGACAGAATAAAATGTCGTTGCGAGCGTAGAGAGAGAAAAGGAGGATTGAGTGTTAGAGTGAAGGGGAAGAAAGCAAGCAGGCTGCGGCTCTGCGGGTTCTAGCCGCCGGAGGTTTAACTAAGGAAACTAACAGTATCGACCGACACGCGCGCGCCAGAAGCTTTCCCAATCCCGCCGCCCGCCACGGACCACTTGCGCAGATAAATCGGATCCGCGCCCCCGGAGTCTCTTCAAGCAATCCTCCCCAACGTCTCGGAATGGGCCTACAAACTCGTCAGGCAATGGCGCAGGGCCTTGACTCCAGACCGACTGTGGAGGACTTCCGCGAAGACAGCGCATGGGTGCGGTTAGCCAAATCCTACTGGCTTGACGGTTCCAAGGCCCGCAAAGTCAAGCAGGATGTCCTTAAAAAGGACCTCTGGGATCCCCTTGAGGCTGAGAATTTCAGTTTCCGGTCGCTTCTGACGCTAGAGAATCTCAATATTCTGGAAAAGTGCGCATCTCCCGCAATGCTTCTTCGGCCCTCTCCTCTACGACAATGCCTAACTCGCGAACAGGTTTCTTTGGCCGACTTACACGGAAGATGCCTCGAACTACCATGTGCTCCTTCTCGCCTTGATTGTGAGCGTCAAGCAGCGAGAGCATCTACCGATATGGGGTATGTGAATGGTTTGCACTACTGGGACAATTTGAATTGCTGATGAAAGATCAGATATCTTCTCCGATCGACCGGCGGATTTCTCCAATCTTTTCCACCGTATCCTTTCAATGAGCGTCGATCCCTCTCTCGGAACTTCTTCACGGTTGTCGATAGTTTCTTTCATCATTAGCGCCTTTCAGTCCGTCGAGAATCCGTTGATACGCAAAGAGTGTGCACCACTGGTCTCGATCTCCATCTGGCACAACCTGTCGAGCGAGGAGGCAAGAGATCGCTTATTGGCAAGGAGTTCCGGATTGAAGAAAGCATGGAGGGCCGCAGGCAAGCGGTACGATGCAGGGGATGACGCAAACAAGGCCAAGATGCGCTTTGAGCGATCGTGGCTGTACACCATGCTTTTGGATTTCTTCCGGAGATTGAATGGGCCCGAAAGAGAGCAGGCGGATAATCTGCGATACTGCGAACGACTACTTGAATTTCTTGTGGATCTAGAAAGCCAGCCTCCAACCAGGCGCTATGTGAACACGCTCTTGAAAGACCTCAACTTCCTGTCCGTCATCCGCCTGTCGCAACTGTACCGCTCTGCAGACAGCGCGCTATTCCGTGATCTTTGTGGTCTTCTGGAGCATTTCAGCGCTTTTGCAATCGATGACTTCACTGGAGAGGCTCTATCTCCCCAGGCTATCTACGATGCCCACTGTCAGGAGTTGGCACGTCTTCAAAGAACCTCTATGAAGTATTTCAAGGACAAGCTGATGATATTGGCTCTTTCCAATTATGGATCGATTGAACAGCGCTCTGAACTCGAAGGTCAATTAGCTACCTTGGAAGAATCCGAGCTTCGAGATTTGTGCTCGCATCTTGGTTTCCGTACGGACTATCCGAAACAGTCTCAAATAACGCCGGATCGCCATCTGTACATGGAGGTTCTCTTGTCTTTCTATGAAAAGAAGACGACATTCCAAGAAGCTGCCTCCCAGCTCAGCATTGTTCCCACCGAAGAAAATCTCTACGACCCTACTTTGCTCCGCAACGAGACATATGATGGATCCAGGCCGCTTGCAATTCCCAAGTTAAACCTTCAGTATCTGAGCACCGGTGACTTCTTGTGGCGCTCCTTCTTGCTCTATCGGTCGGAGGCATTCTTCCAGATTCGCAAGGATATGGAGTCGATCGTCAAACGCATGCAGCCTCGTGCAAGCCGGGACGGCAAGACATTGAATTTCGACGGTTTCTCAAGGATGGCCATCCCCATTACAAAGCCTGCCATCATTGAAGTGGCGCCTCCCAAGGTTGGTTCGGCAAAGCCTGCGTTCGTCAGGGCTGAAATAGCTATCGAAGTGGGTAGACTGGCCGACCACATCCGGATGGAGTGGGAATCACTTCGTCCAGATGACGTGGTCTTCTTGTTGGCTGTACAGTCAGATGATGCAGGAAACCCCGGCTTTCGAGAACCTGAGACCCCTGGCCTCAAGTATCTTAGAACAGCAGAAATTGTGCAAGTGCTCGATGAGAACGGTCGTCCATTACGCGAACCTGTGTCAGGCCAAGCAAACGGGCACAGATACAGGCCGCGTGTGCGGAAGTTATTGGTCAACCTGGACTCGGCTGCCTTCAAAGCAGACAAAGACGGTCTTGCGCGAGGAAAGCCGGATGTCTATCCGTTGATCAATGTGGTGGCGAGACGGAAGGGGCGAGAGAATAACTTCAAGTCCATTCTTGAGACGATGCAGAAACTCATTGTCTCGGATATCACCCTTCCCTCCTGGATTCAGGATATCTTTTTGGGTTACGGAGATCCGGCTGGTGCTCAATACACTCAGCTGCCTAATCGATTGAAGTCAGTTGATTTCCGGGACACATTCTTGGATTGGCAGCATCTCATTGAGAGCTTGCCCGGTTCAACCATAGAACCATCCAAGGAGGAGACATCAAGCTTTGGTCCCCCGTACGTACTTGAGTACGTTGAAGAGCCTTCTAAAGCACCTTCAGCGGAAACGTCGAAGAAGCGACGGAGGGAACAAGCCGAGAGAGAAGCAGGACCCAAATCTCTTCGCGTCTCGACATACAAGCCACCCAATCCCGGCCCGTATCCAATTGACGCGCCCAAACTTAATACCGTCCGATTCACCCCAGCGCAGGTGGAAGCCATTGCTTCAGGCACTCAACCAGGGCTGACCGTTATCGTCGGGCCTCCTGGAACAGGAAAAACGGATGTTGCGACGCAGATCATCAATAACATCTATCATGATTTCCCCAATGAACGCACGCTACTTATCGCACACAGCAATCAAGCACTGAACCAGCTTTTCCAGAAGATTGTCGCATTGGACATTGACGAACGTCATCTTCTTCGTCTTGGTCATGGTGAAGAGGAGCTGGAGACTGAAACCAGCTACAGCAAGTACGGACGCGTAGAATCTTTCCTTGAGAATCGCAATCATTTCCTCGGCGAGGTCATTCGGCTAGCAGCATCCATTGGAGCACAGGGTGCCCATGGCAATTCCTGCGAAACTGCCGGGTATTTCAACACCGTCTACATCCAACCTGCGTGGGCCAAGTTCTGGGATCAGGCTCGCAGTGAAAGCGCTTCGACCGAAGATATCGTCGCGGCTTTCCCATTCCATACATACTTTGCCAATGCGCCTCAGCCCGTCTTTGATGCGACGGCGACAAAGGAGACCCTCCTTGACGTGGCTGAAGGATGCCAGCGGCACATTGACAAGATCTTTTCCGAGCTAGAGGACATCCGTCCATTCGAAATCCTGCGTCAGCCCAAGGATAAGGCCAATTATCTACTTGTGAAGGAGGCAAGAATTATTGCAATGACTTCGACGCATGCTGCCATGCGTCGCCAGGAAATCGCCGATCTCGGTTTCCATTATGACAATGTGGTCATGGAAGAGGCGGCCCAGATCACGGAGATTGAGAGCTTCATCCCCGCCGCCCTGCAGAATATGAAGAATGGCGAGCTTCCTCTGAAGCGAGTAGTTCTTTGCGGTGACCACCTCCAGAATTCTCCCATCATCCAGAACATGGCTTTCCGGCAATACGCCCACTTCGAGCAAAGTCTGTTCCTCCGACTGGTGAGGCTGGGCGTCCCTGTTATTACACTGGACCAGCAGGGCCGCGCGAGACCCAGCATCGCTGAACTCTTCCGGTGGCGTTATAAGCAACTTGGAAACCTACCTGCCGTTGAGACGGCGCCAGAGTTCAAGCAAGCCAACTCCGGTTTTCAGTATGATTACCAGTTCATCAACGTGCCTGACTACCAGGGCACCGGAGAACGTGAACCCACTCCCCACTTCATCCAGAATCTGGGAGAGGCCGAGTATGCCGTTGCCATCTACCAGTACATGCGCCTCCTTGGGTACCCAGCCTCCAAGATATCCATCCTTGCCACGTATGCAGGCCAAACGGCATTGATTAAGGATGTCTTGAATCACCGCTGTGCCAAGAACGGACTATTTGGCATGCCCAAGATCGTCACGACGGTGGACAAGTATCAAGGTGAACAAAATGACTGTAAGTCTTTCCAAAGAAAAAACCAGCTCCGTCAAAGGAAACCCTACTAATTCGTACCTCAACCTAGACGTCATTCTATCTCTCACCCGAACTCGCACCGTCGGCTACCTCCGTGACGTCCGTCGTCTAACTGTTGCTCTTTCCCGTGCGCGTCTTGGTCTGTACATCCTCGGTCGTCGCGAGGTCTTCGAGTCATGCTACGAGCTCAAGCCCGCGTTCGACCTTCTCTTCCAACGCCCAGACAAGCTTATGCTTGCCCCGGGCGAGATGTTCCCGTCTGCGCGCTCCCTGGATGACGAAGTCCAAGGCACTCCGATGGAAAACGTCGAGCATCTCGGCCAGTATGTTTTCGAGATGACGCAGGCGAAGATCAAGGCCATGGGTGGAGAAAACGCTATTAACAATGAGATGGATGTGGGAGGTGATGAGGAGGTCGTGATGGATGAGGATGAAGTCATGCTAGGGGCTGGGGAGGAGGGCGATGATGATCCTTTGCACGAACATACTTTTACTTGAGCGTGATCTGTATCTTGTTGTTCTGTTGTTTCTCTCCTGGCCCGGTCATCCTGGACGTGTGTATGCATGCCACATGCTCTTCTCTTTTTATCTTAAAACTACCGAGAACCCCGATTTTATCCAAATTTGAGAAAAAGTCATCTGAATGGGCTTTGGATGGTCGGGCTACTATTTGAATGATTGAATGGTTGTGATGAGGCTTCTTATTTCTATAATCTATGCTACTGCATCTGTGCGTTGGTAGATTTGCCTGGTAGTAGCAGGGTCAGTACTATTATAGAAGAAGAGCCTGTAGAATTGGCTATGTAGTATCGCTTTATATATATACAAAATCTCTATACCCCGTTCTAATCCATGTGCTCTATCGTGTCCGGCCGAAGAAGAGGCTAGTAGTTGCTATAATAGCTAACAAAAAGCTCGCCTGAATCGACACACCTGACATGTGTAGTAGTAACTACCTAAGATGACGAGGACTCGAGCTTGTTGATCTCCTCAACGATGTTTTGAGGGTCTTTCCATGCGAGAGCGACAAATCTGATAGGAAATCAGTCCATTGGTTTTCTTCTGAGGGCAGAAAGAATATATATTTGTATGCGTATACTTACTTGGTGTGGCTTCCTCTGGCGAAGACTTCTCCTTTAGTGTTGGCGAATTTAATCGACGTGTATGCAAGGGTCTTGCCAACTGCAGATGACTGTAAGTATATGCAGCGTATCAAGTGCGTTCAGGGAACCTACATTTATCACAGCTGACTTCCTGTTACACATGCAGTGGGTTAGCCTGGACATGCTTTTCCCCTCTATTGTCATGACTACACACACAGAGAGAGAGAGAGAGAGAGAGAGAGAGAGAGAAAGAGAGAAGCAGGAAAAACCTACCGCTAGGATCCTGTCTCCTACTTTACCACCAGAACTGAGATACGTCACTGTATGATTTATTAGGGGGTCTTCGGTGAAAGTAGAAGTTGCTATCTGCTCACCGTTCAGGTCAGTCGAGACGCCTGTCGCGAACAAACCACGAGAAGCAACAGCCAGGGAGCCACCAAGGTCCACTTTGCATTAATTCATGTTAGCAAGGACATTCAATGTGAGACGGTGTTGGCATGTGGCCCACCCATGCTGGCAATGGTACCGCCATGGAGGATGTTCAGGCGGTTCTGATGATTGTCAGTTACCAAGTAACCATTTTCGAATCTCTGGCTTACCGTGTGCTCCTTCTTGATATCGAGTTCAAAGTTGACTAACCCAGGTTTGGCAGCAGTCACACGAAGCTGGCGCGATAGACTCGAATGTTAGTATAGTGTTCCGAAGCGTTTAGCCGGTATCGACGGGTGTCCCCGGGACCGATAGAGTGAAGCTTCAGCCGTAAGGTGAATCCATTGAAGATATTCCCGGAATATGATGGTTGTATATTCCAACTCGAGAAGCTTACATTGTCTAGTAGACTAGATAACCATCCCATGCATTCCCATCAGTGATTTGAATCCAGGACAGGCATGAAGGAAGCACTCTTTCTTCTATCACTTACCGAGGCTCTAGCCCCGAAGTAGCCCGAAAGGACTCCCAAACCTGCGGATTTTGTGAGTACAGGCATAAGATCAAAGTAGAGTACAACACAAGGTATGTAACTTACAGAGCGAACAAAACGCAAGGTAGTCATCTTCAAAGCAACGGAAATTGAGGCAGCGGTGAGAGTTGACTGTTAAGTAGATATGAGTAGAGTATTGTTTAAAGTGAGATCATCGGCAGCCGATTGATTGCGCTTGGGGCATGTTTGGCGCGCCGGAGATGCTCCGCTTTGGGGCCGATCGTCTCCAACTTTCAAATCCCAAGCGTTGGTTGGTTTCTTCTTTGGCTTCAGCTCCAACGCCCCCATTTCTTTCCCGCCGCATCATGCTGCAGCGGTGACTCCTGCCGACAAGATGGCTGCCGCACCATCTTCTCGTCCCTTTGAATACCTCGAAAGCCTTGCTGGCACTGTCTTCTACAAACTTTACCAGCAGCCATCAACGGCTCTCGCCATTTTCAGGCGCATGCTGCCTGATCTGGGTATGTGTCGCATGTGCATTCACCACTCCGGTGCTTCATCAACTAACTGCCTGACTAGCAAAATGCTTTGTCATGGCACTTCTCTACCTAAAGGATCCGCTCCCCGCGGCGGATCTGGAGGCTTGGGTTAAATCGGAGAGCTTGAAGTAAGTGCGGGTCAAGCACCCTGGGAAGGTTTCCGCAGTGATTGTGGTTAACGTGAGCCTCACACAGAGAACGCGACAATGCACTCTCCATCCTAGGAAGACTGCATATTTTATCCAACACTGTTACGGCGGATAATGTCCGCGCCTACAAAGTCACCGATCCCTTCGCCACTTCATTGCGACACGCTCTCACCGGCGCCGACCAAACACAATCTTTTGGCGTCCTTTCACAAGTGCCTGCTGGCTCGGAAGTCTCGATCCCCGAACTTGATGAGTATGCGCGACGACAGTGGGAAGGAGTGCTGGGATACATGGTCGGTACTGGAGGCATGGGAGGTCCCCAAGTGACCCTCAGCAAAGGCGTGAAGGAGCTCCTGCAGGCGGGTCATCTGGTCGAGATCCGAGATCGTCGCGTCGAAATCACCCAGGATGGGTTTGCCTTTGTCCTGCAAGATGTCAGCACGCAGGTGTGGCATATCTTGATTCTTTACGTCGAGAGCGCCAGCGCCATCAAGATGGACAGTGTCGAAGTCCTCTCGTTCGTGTTCCTTCTCAGCAGTCTCGAACTCGGAAAATCATATGAAAAGAACCACCTCAGTTCGAAACAACTGCGCATGCTGACCGACCTTGCCGACTTTGGTATCGTCTATCAAGAATCGCCGGATGCACCGCGTTTCTACCCCACCCGTCTTGCAACCACCCTCACGTCCGACTCCAGCGCCTTGAGCAACCCACTCTTGGGTTCCCTCTCCGGTCCTGCTGGCGAAGCCTCCAGCAAAGCGGGTACGGGCTTCATCATTATCGAAACCAACTACCGTGTATACGCATACACCTCGTCTCCCCTACAGATCTCCCTGATTGCTCTGTTCACCACACTGAAATACCGCTTCCCCAACCTCATCACCGGCAAAATCACCCGCCAATCCGTCCGCCGGGCCGTCGAGATGGGCATCACCGCCGACCAAATCATTTCCTATCTCTCTACTCACGCCCACCCGCAAATGCGCAAGCACAACGTCTCCCGCTCGACCTCAAACCAGGCCGGGATCCCCCCGTCAGTCCTCCCGCCAACCGTGGTGGACCAGATTCGACTTTGGCAGCTGGAGCGGGACCGTGTCAAAGCTACGTCCGGATTCCTTTTCAAGGACTTTGTCAGTCTGGCAGAATACGAGGCGCCATGTCGCTATGCCGAAGAAATCGGTGTTCTGGCATGGAAGTCGGATCGCAAACGCATGTTCTTCGTGACGAGGCATGAACAAGTGGCTGCGTTCTTAAGGAGCCGGAAATAAGTCGAGGGTTCATCGACCCCACCAAAAGGTGTTGGCTGAAATGGATTATTGGGCTAAAAAAAAGGAATTAATTATTACTGCAACTTTTGGCTTCTTGCGTTGCATAGAGGTGCGGCAGCTTGGCGTTCTGGTTTCTCGGGACATTTCATGAAACTGATGATATATAACCCACCCCAAATCGGAGAATGCGATTGTGGGGGTGACGGCTTACAAACTGTATAATAGCTGGGAAACTCAAAATAGAAGAAAAGGAAGTGTGACATCCAAATGACATAGACAAGGATCATCAATAATGACTATCTGTCCGTCCCTAGCACAAGCACAGCAAGGTCACCACGCATCATATATACTAATACAATAACACAGCCCCTCAACATAATGGCCTCCCCACCAGCAATAATCTAAAAATCCCAACTATAACTGGGTTACTACTCCCTAAAACGCTGACCACAAGGCCCATGTGCCGCCTCAAACGCCAGCCCAAACGCCCTAAAACTCCGCGTCGCGTCTTCTGACTCACATGCATCCTCCAGCATCATAAATGCCCTCCTAAACCTCCCCGTAGCTCCCCTATCCGACCCAGCAAGAGCCGCTACACGCTGAGAATACCCATGTCTCGACACGGTCAGCGAGAATACACTTGGTGGACGAATGCCGGTCACGGGATCCGGTGCATCAAATAAGTCTGCGTAAAGTATGGCATTGAGAACGGTCATGAGTCGTCCGAGCCAGAATGCATATGATTGGGCTCCGTATATTGATTCGAGGCGTGTACGTGGCGGTGTGGTTTGTGCTGTGGTAGTGGATGTTAAGGTTCTTTGGGGGAGTCGTGATGGGAAGGGGGAGGAGCGACGGTGATGTTGCAGTGGTGGTGCTAGTTGTTGGGGCTGTGGTGGAGGTAGTGTTCTTCTTCTGCCTCCCCTGCTGGATGCTGCTGGGTGAGGGACAATGGGTCTTGGGAGGTGTGAAGGGAACGGGGTCGGACGGCGCCCGGTGGTGGAGGTCGGAGTGGTGTCTGGATTGGGATGGGCTGGAGGTTGGGGGGTGGTGCTTGTGCTTGGGCTTTCTCTTTCTCTTTCGTGTTGGCCTTTGCCTTCAGCTTGAGGTTGCATTTCTGATAGTATAGTTCTTATAGTTGTGTATATGTAGTTGGTGGTGGTGGTGGTGTAGCTTTTGGAGGTATTGGGATAGAAATAGTTGAATTGGATCTACTTTTTGAAGGTTTTGACAATTATTTGGGTCATATTGATGCTGTTGAGTATGAAAGATCCATTATCTGGTCGAGAAACTATTATTTGATACCGTTTTCCTCGTCAATGAACGTGTTGTGTCTGGGCGAACTTCCCTGGAAGCGAACCACAGATCGATCAGTAACCGTCATCGCCTGAAGTGAAGGAGGACCAGAGTCACTCTCACCTGCCCTTTTAGTGTAAGCACAGAGGATATGTTTGCTCTAATTTGTTTGTTTCTCTTTCACCCCGTAAGGATTCTAGATATGAAGCGAGTGGGTAGTGTGGGTATATAGACTGAAGCATGGCATATATGGATGTTAGGATCAAAGGGGTGCAAATGGAGCAAACTGTTCTTTGATTCCTATTGTCTCAATTGACTTGTGTTCAATGCCAATCGATGTTTCCAGAAAGAAGGCTGGATAGAGGTGATTTGATATAGCGGGACTCCAGGTGATACACACTTCTGACTGATTCGGGGCCATCAATTTGACACTTTCCTGAGTGGGAAGCAGCAAGTTCTTTATACTAAGGCTTGCCAGAATCTTCAACTCTGATAACTTCACAGTTAGAGGTAAAAGTCAAAAGTCATTCCTATTTAGAAGTATCTGCTAAAATTTTGCAAGAAAAATCCGGTCATACCAGCACCGGCTCTTCAAACGTCAATCGCGTTCACTCCACGATCCCGATTATCACATCCATGATAGTAATCTACGCTGACCAGACAGCCATTCAAAAGACCACATGAGACCCGCTTAAACAACCTGTAGGTAGATTCGATAATGAAACCCATCGTTTGGAGGGTACAGGGCGCGATCTCGCATGTCGTAGACATCGGGCTAGTTGAACCATGGAAAAGGAAATCCCGAGAACCCCCACGTGTAGTCTCTTTCCGTGAGAACTTTCTCGACTCTGACAGGGCCGAAGCTTGTGCAGTCCCACTTGATAGCCATCCAGAAGTCCACGGATAAGGTAAAATACAAGCTCGATAGTTTGATCTAGTCTGATTGACAGTCCAGTTCCTGAGCTAGTGCTGCCCTAGACCCCATATCCATCCAGCTATTTCATCTAATGCCAAGGACTGCAACTCAGCACTACTATCGCGAAACCACCTTAGAGCATATAGTACTCCAAGTCCCTTTTATAGACAGATACTGATGATCCACCGTTCGCAGATAATAGTTAGCAGTTTAGGGGCAATCTAGAAGTGGATCAAACTTTTCTGCTGTAAAGTGGTTTTCTTCGCATGGTGTGTCCATTCAAAAGCGAAGTCTGGAGATACAATAACTAGTATAGGGTTGGCACTGTGATTATCTCAAGATGAACGGGACCCTTAGATTGGAGATCAAGATAGTGACTCAGATTAAGTAAACCTTCATTATTGTGGGAGGTAAACAGACTGATCCTTGTACGGATGCTAAAGGGGCGAGTAAATGCATGACTGCCTGTCGATTTCTTCCTGGGCTTTTCGTGACTGTGGTGCTAATCGATTCGTTCATAGGAAAATTTCGGATGCAGCACGTTCGTTCAGGAGTACAACATTGAGGTTGTGGATGCCAACAAAGATCTCTGAGATTTCAATCTGAGTGAGATCGCGGGTGGCATCGAGAAGAGGAGCCAGGTCCATTTATGCTACTCTCCTGATACAAGCAGCAACAGCAACAGCAAGAAATAAGGATTGATGGTCATGATATTTTTGGGTGGCTTTGAGCCACATGATCTAGTGACTCCAAATGTGTGGGCATTTGATCAAGGTTACCAGTCGCGCTTCCACTCGATTAACTCGAGGTGGACTTCGGCTTGAGCACCTAGCTCCATGAACTGGTGCCTCAGTTCAGGGGGCCATTCCCCAATATTGGTGTCTATGTAGTCGAACAATACAGAAATGCCACGAAGCTGGGGCGTGCAAGATTTCCAACCCCTCAGCCATGTCCGAAGCAAGGTCAAAACAGCAGTATCTGTCCATTCGTAGATCGGCCAATCACTATTATAATCACCACCGTCATTTTGTAGCCCCAGCTCATCCGTAATGGTTAGAAACTCGATATTCCTCGGGACCACGTCCTGCAATCTTTTCGTTGTGTCTTCAACAAACCCCACGAGGAATGCCAGGGGAATCCGAAGTCTCTTGAGCTCGTCGAACTCTACCATTGCACGCAGCGAGCCCTCCATCTTAACAGCGGGATGGAACTGCTCATTGCCTCCGATTGGGGCATCAGCTGAGATTGTTAAATCCATTAGAGTGCCTCGAACACGAGATACTGCGGCCGCGATCCTATCAAGATCGACGGTAGGCGAAACGAAGTCATCCTCGACGCCATAGTCGTAATACCAGGCCCAGCGAAGGGTTTTGAGATATGGCATGACTGACAACAAGTCACCGAGGTAGGCTTCCCGTACCGCAGTCAAGTCAAGCGAGGTAAGTTTGGAAGGGTCAGGTAAGTGCGCTGCAGGCCATGTGAATACATCAGGGTTCTCAACAGTGACGGACATGCTTCGGATATTCGGCAGATAAAACAATGGCAAGACGTTGGCGGTGTTCTTGGCTCTATCTTGGGGTGTCATTTTGGGCCTCGTGCCGTCGTCGCCCACAGCACGGTGGAAAGACACATCTCGGAGATGCTGAAAGGTAGGTAGCCTATAATCCATAGGTCTGCATAAGGCTGAGTTGAGGATCATTCCGAGAACCTGATTTTCTCTAGTGTAAATCGGGCCCAAGTACAAGCACCTGAGATTTGAAAGTTGTGCTACCAGAAGGGCAAGGAGAGCATCAATCGTACCCTGGTGTAATTCACATATCCAGAGATCGCTGTAGGGCACCCCAGTCCCTTGGATGAATGCAGTGTATTCGGTCAACTCGGAACTGGAAATGAGTATCTTGGGAGGGCCTGCCGTCATCCGACCTTTGATATTCATGCCGTCCAAGTGAACATTTGTGATGTAAGTAGCCAATTGCGGCTTGCACGTAATTGTGCGTAAGAGTTGAGTGATCGGGGGAGGCGAAGAAGCTTCGCGCCAAAGCCACTGGATGTTTGCGTAGAGGAATGGCTCAACTCGGGCGCGCAGCTCTTTATTGACAATGCTAAGCACACGCAGTTCAGCCGGCGGAAGGATCTCGAAGATCAGGCCTAATACTTCAACCGGGCAGCCCAGAATGCCAGATGCTGCCTGGCGTTCGGACAGCATTGGGGCAAGTTTCACGATTCTTTCATGGATTTCGAAAGGAAAGAAGACGGCCACTATTGCAGGAGAAAGTGTCAAGTATGAGGGGAAACTAGAACGTGAGAAAACCGATGTTTTTGTGATGTGAAACCCGGGGTAATAAACTCATGTCTGGAACCTTAGCTGCTAGTCTAGCTAACTAGATAGTAAATAGATGGAATGGATGGACTTGGAGAGATCCACTCGATCCTCGCATTCCTGGCACACAGTTCATGCCTAAGGCAGACATCCATTGCGAATCTCTACTCGTTCCCCCATCAATGAAATTCATCTTATCTGTATTGACTTACGAGTAGCTATTCGGTTTGCATTATATTGTATTAATATTAGATGTATCTTATTTGTAACTAAGTTAAATACATGCTTGTAGGCTTCATTGTTCAAGCCGGAATGATCTCCCAGCAGCTCCCAAAGAGAGAAGTGGGCAAGTCGATGAAGTTGGTCGGTCAATTCAATTTCAAGAAAGACTGCACTGCTGCGTTTCCAGGCTGCTTCTCCTCCTTCTCCTTCTCCTTTTTGTCTGCATTCTGTGCCCGCAGGTTCTCAAATTTATTCGTTAACCGAACCCGCCTCGGCAGCGCCCTTAGACTCGATCTCGCCAGCTCTGCTTCTGATGTGGGCGTTGTATCTGAATGATGATCGCGTGACTGCATTTGCAAGCCAAGACCAAGATTGTCCTCAATCTGTATCAATCGCAAGAACTGCTGTCTGTCTGTCCGGTGCTCTCCTGAGCATGATTGGGGCGCATCTGCTGCATGGGTGCTCAAAGGATCTGAGCTTGAGCTTGAGTCTGCATTTGCCTGCATCTCGGCTCTGCTATGGGACACCTCCTTCCGGCTCAATACCCGATTTGATGGTCGACTGGTAACCATCACTGGAAGCGACTTGCGAGCATTGTCTGGCTTGCTGCTACCATGGCCGCGCGTTGAAGTCGGAAGTACATTGGTTTTTCTTGTTTGGACTCGCTCACTGCTGTGGCCTCGCTGCGGGAGTGGTAAGCCTGATGGTTTCTGCTCCGATGCTCTGGTACGGCCATCATGCATACTGCTGCTTCGACTGCATACTCCAGGACTATCCTCTGATGAACCAGACTTCGGATTCCCCACCTCATACCGTTTTCCAGCAGCATGAGGGCCCCCCAAAGAGGAAAGCACACTCCGTCTCGCTTCATGTTGGTAGATCTCATGCGAATACAGATTCGAGGTCGGTGGTTTGACAGGAGTGGGAAGTCTAGAATAATTGGCATGATGAGCCTTTTCACTGGCAGCCTGGTGGGGGGCAGGGAGCGAGGATTCATGTAGGGTTAGAGATTGTCTTTCGTCCTCCTTGTAGGATACGGAGTTCAATTCTTCATTACAGTCTCCAAGGCTTTCTTGTCCTTCCTCCTCTGCTTGAGTGGAAGGCTTTCCAGCATCTGTTGTGTCTGGAGGTAGCATCACTGCTCGCCTGATTCGTTCTCCACGTACAGAACGAAGCTTCTTGGTTGGTGTGGATGCCGATGAGCCGGTTTCTGTGGTAGATATTGATGTTTGGGGTGTGTTTGGTGGTTGAAGACAGGTCAATTCGCTGATCGTGCTTTTGCTAAGAGTGTCCTGGTTGCGGTTGCTGTGGCTGGCTTGGGTGTTCATGTTGCCTGAGCGGCTACGACGACCTCTAAATGCACATTTGAGAACTTGAAGAGAACTGGCAAGAAAGGATCTGCGAGTTACCCGATCAGGCATAATGTATGTAGTACGGCTTTGGATCTTGGGAAGGTGAGAACTGTGATTCACGAGTTTTGGAGACCAGCGTCATCTGCACTGCAATGCACAGAAGATGGCTTACTGTGTTATGAGTTCTGAGCAGACTATAACAACTCGCGTGAAGTAGGAAAAGGGAGGCGCGTCGCCACTGTATTCACTTAGACACGGGATATCTTGTCTTCAAATTCACGTATTGATCCCGTGACCATGGAGCAATATCATCATCAGCATCCAAGAGACATGCAGGTGTGATGCTTAGCTCACTGGATAACAGATAAGGCTAGGCTCTCAGATGTATAGGTTAGTTAGGGCGCAAGAGCATCAAGGACGTGCGTTCATGCAACTTCGCTGCAGCCCGTTTGCTCACTACAAAGACCATATGTCACTATCACTTCCTGAACAGCGCAATGCTAACAAGAGTGGATTAAGCCGGGAACTGGATAGAAAATCAGTTCCCCCATCTTTATAAAGTGGTTGACCCCTGCACGAAGGAAATTTCCCATTTCTGCCCAGTAAATCAAGGGTATGCATTGTCTATCCATGCATGCTAATACATATACATACAGATGCCAATTCATACAATGCCCATATTCATGCTCGACACCAAACACCACATCAAGTCATCATGCCATGAGAGTTAATGGAGTGGACACCCGCTCTACTCCGAGTCACTGTCCACCACGAAGCCCGCGCGCATCCGTCTGCGATTTGCTGCTACAATTGGTGCGTCATCATCGTCTTCGTCCTGCGCCATTGCTTTATCGGGCCTGTTCGAGTCCTTCTCCTCATTCCCAGCAGAGCCCAACAGCTTCTCTCGATCCCGACTGAATACCAAATCGTCATCAAAATTGAAGCCATCGTCCTCTTCCCCGGATGGCGTGCCCTCTCTGTCCGACATAGGCGATGGGGCATCCATGTTTCCCATCACGACATCGTCGTCTTCGTCCACTTCGTCCGCCTGCTTCCCGCGTCGTTGCCGCTTGCTCTTGGCTTCACCTGTCCGGTTTCGAGTGGTTTGGCGCTTGCGTTGACCTTTCTTATTTGTCGAACCATCTCCGTCTTCGGTCATGCCGGTAAGTAGTGCATGCTTGATGCGCTTGGCTTGTTCTCTACGTCTCTGCTCCTCCAGGAGGAAGAATTCCTTGTCTCCTTCTTCGTCGGTGTCTTCGTCACTCGCGTGCACATACAGATCACTCTTGATCTTGGCGAGACGAGCTCGACTATTTTCCAAACGCGCTCGGCGACGCTCCTCCAAGGTCTCTTCATCCACCGAGTCATCCTCATCCTCATCATCCGGGTTACGTTCTTTGCGCTTCTTCTTCTTTGTTGGTTTATTTGCTGGATTCGGCGCTGCCCGAGGGTTCGGCGGGAACAAGGGCCCATCTGGTACCTCGTCCTCGCCCTCTGAATCATCACCAAACTGAATATCAGGGTTGTGTTGGTTGTCTGAGGCCGTTTTCCCACCACCGTATTTCCGTCGGATCAGCTCACGGGGGTCCCGTCCAAGTGTCCCTCGCTTAGCTTTCTCGAAGTACTTGTCGATGAATGACTTCATTTCCCGGAGATCCTGGGCCCTTGGGGCAGAGGGAATGATCCAGGCTGCCCCAGGCACGTCCTCTGCACCAAGCCTTTCAAACTTGACCAGTGTCATAAGAAGACGGAGCTTTGCGTTGGAGAACATGGCCTGTTGGCATGCATCGTCGCGCGCTTTCACAGCTACAGATATGTTAGCTCATGGTTCAGAAATATGGGAATAACAACCTACAAATCATAGGGTTTGGGATTTTGGAATTCTCTGCACCCGCATCGCGCAGGGCCTTCTCCTGGGTTTCCCAAGCCTCTCTTTCTTCAACTGCCGACTCCAACACATCGCTGACCCAAGTGACCAGATCTTCCTCCCCATCTAAGACCAATGCTGGCACCATAATGCTGATTTTTTCTTCAATTGTATGTGCCTGTCGGGGGTCGATCTCTAGTTCTGCTGGAGCCTTCCTGGCACGGGTGACTGTCTGCCGCTCGTGACCATATTCGAGGTAGAATGTAGTCGCGTTGATCTTACTGAACAGCAGCTCCACGAACAGGGCAGGCCGTTGGTCGAGCCTCTTCGTCAGTCGCCGGATAATCTGGCGCACGAATTCTTCCCACTCCTTAAAGATCGGTTTACTCGAATCCAAGGCGCCTGGGCCTTTAATCATACGGTAGAAAAGGTTGATGATATCGAGTCGGAAGAGCAGAACACTCAGTTCTTGCTTGAAAGCAATTCTGTAGAAGTAACGGTGGGCGCGTTTTAGCTGCTCAGTGTTCAGCTCCTTGTAGTGCTTGGTGAAAGCAACAAAAGTGTCAACGCATTTCTGATTGCAGAATTTGGCGGCAAACCGTCTGAAATCGAACTTGCGCTCTTTGGACACACGTTCTGCTTCCAAGCGGTCCTCATCTTCGGAGCCGTTCTCTTCATCATTCTCGTCATTGCCAGTACCTTCTACATCCTTGGCTTTGCGTCTGGCACGTCGCCGAGATCGCACTTGCATATCGAGGTTCTCCTTCGAATAACGCTCCAACATTCGCAAGAAGACGTGGGTGAGTTCGGTGCACGCATCCAGATACCCAAACGGTTGATCCTTGTATCCACGAATGACAGCGAGGACCCGGTCATGGGTAGTTTCTTCGTAAAATATACGGTTTTGGATGTTTTCAGCGATCTCTTGGTCCTCTTCGAGCGGAGACTGGGCCATGTCCTGCACGGTCAACAAGATCTGGGTGAAGCAGCGCATTCCAGCATTGAGATCCTCCCAATCTTTATTATCCAGCGCATACTGCATAGCGCGATTTAGAAAAACGAAGGTTTCTTGATTCAGGACACCCGCAACGAGGCCAAAGCTATCGGGCTCCAGCTCCTTTGCCGGCTTCTCGCTCTCCGCATGCTTCTTGCGTTGGCGTGCCCGACGTGCGCGCTCCGCTTCGAGAAACCAAGCAGTAGTGTAAAGAAACTGGCGCGTGTTTATGTCCATGACGCGGTCTGCTTCACGTTCGATTGCCTTCCGTACATGGGTAAGAAGGGGGTTGAAGCCTGAGTCCAAAAACTCTTCCACGAACATCCGTAAGTTATTGGAGGCAGTCGAGTTTAGATGGACCGGAGTGCTGAAGTCATTGTGCACAGTCAAATCTTGTGGCTTTCGCCGAATTAGTGGCTTGTTCCACTTCTTGGTCTCGTCCATCTTTTGCAGGGTCGCCTGGCCGTCTTTGAGCACATTCTGCCCTGAGACGGTGGAATACTTGGCGTCATCACGCTTGACCCAGATCATAGTCCCAAAGCGTCCATGCCGAGTTGGTGCGTTCTTCGCGTACTCTCTTCGTAAAGACGACTCCTGGCGTAGCAGATCGTCTAGCTCGTCCGTCCGTTTGGCTGTTCGTTGCGCATCATCCATGAATAGCTTCTCCACACTAACACCCCGTATCAGATGGAACAGTATCTCGAGAAGAGCAACATCTTGCATGGTAAAGTCGTCGCCAACGTTGGAGCACATGGTCAGAAGGAGGGCGAAGACATCTTGATCTTGGAAGGCGTTGATGGTTGCGGATCTTGAGGTTTCCTCCTCATCGCCTTCCGCCGCGAGACGAGTATTGGGGGTTATCAAAGCAATATTCCGGAGGAGATAAAGCAGAAGTTTAAGAATACCCTCGTCGCGGGTCGTTCGCTCGGATCGTGGGATGGCCATGCTCGGAATGCCGACGCGGATTATAGTTCGGAGATAGCTAGTACTAGCATGACTCAGTAGGCCTCGCTTGTATGAAACGTGGACATGTTGTATGTATGGTATATGCCGATGATGGTTGATTGTCAATTCCCCGTGTAGTTCTACCGGCCATGTCAAGGGGACAAGCAGCTCTACTGCTCCCTGTTAGACAATCATCGCAATGGACTGTAGCATATAGCATCACTTACAGCATGCCAATGCGATCCTAGACATATACTTGGTTTGCTTCTTGCTGTTTGCCCAGACCGCCAGGATGGGTAACAAATCCCCGTTGACAAGATTGGCCTCTCCCAGGCACCGTGCCACATCCATCCGGTTGTGTTTCTCATCGTATAGCTTCAGCCATCGCTTGATATCCCGAAGACAGGCCAGGGCGTCGTCTCCCAGCACATACTTGTCTGCATCTTCGCCATTGAAACCACCCAACTATGAGCCAGTGATTAGCTGTGTTCCTATGCTATCATTCAGCAAAGGAGGGTTTACTTACGGCAGTGACGAGACTATAGACATGGGCGCGGACATCCGGGTCCACGACCTGCACGTCCGGTGCAGACAGCACTGGTTCTTCGTTCTCCATGCTGGGTATGCACACCTTGTATCATTTCTCCTCACTATCATCCTCTGCTTGGTGATCCTGCGCGCGCACCCCTAAATTGGCCATCAACCAATAATGGCGCGTGATTCACGCGTCGACGTGTCACCGCCTTTGAAAGTCCCGGATAAACCTGGTAGCCGAGAAAGCCGCGGGTAGCCGATGACGTCGGATCACATGAGAATGGCCGAGGCCCGATGCATCTCCGTCTATTTACTATCTGGTTATTACTTCCCCCTCTTTGCTAGATCTGCTCCGTATCATTTATCGAGAGTCTTCGTGCCCAAATTGGCATTATGCTATTTTCATCATTGCGCTCTCTCTCTCACCGGGGCCCCTCACTGGCCTCGCGGGCCTTCAGCACCTCCCCCGCCGTCCATGCCGCCGAGGTTAAGTCGCTGGGTGTGATAGGAGCTGGGCAGATGGTCAGTGTGTTCCTGACAATATGATGTTCCCTCCAGTGAGAGAAACAGGGCAACTAAGATTCTATAGGGATTAGGAATTGCTCTAGTAGCTGCCCAGAAAGCCCAAGTCCCGGTGACCCTAATCGACAACTCCCAAGCATCCATCGACAAGGGCCTCAAGTTTGCCGGTACACAGCACCCACTCTTCTTCTCTCCCTCACCATCTTTCCAATTTCATTTAACTAAACAACTACATTCTTCCAGACAAACTCCTCGATAAAGATGTATCAAAAGAACGCCTCACCCGGGACGCCGCCGATGCCGCCCGGGCACGCATCACCCCAAGCCTGAAAATGGACGACCTCTCCAGCGTCGACTTCGTCATCGAAGCCGTCCCCGAGATCCCCGACCTCAAGACCTCTATCTTCTCAAAACTCGCCCAAATTGCCCCTAAGCACGCCATCCTCGCTACTAACACCTCCTCCATCTCCATCACCAAGATCGCAGCCGCCACCACAACAGACCCCACGGACCTGCAGGCCCCCTCGCGTGTCATCTCCACGCATTTCATGAACCCCGTCCCCGTGCAAAAGGGCGTAGAGATCATCGCAGGCTTGCAGACTTCCCAGGCCACGAAAGATACCGCCATCGCTTTCGTCCAGCGCATGGGCAAAGTCGCTTCTGTTTCTGCGGATTCGCCTGGTTTCCTGGCGAACCGAATCCTCATGCCGTATATAAATGAGGCCATCATCTGTCTGGAGACGGGCGTTGGTGGCCGTGAGGATATTGATAATATCATGAAGACGGGCACAAATGTGCCTATGGGTCCGTTGGTGTTGGCGGATTTTATTGGTCTGGATACTTGTCTCGCCATTATGAATGTCTTGCACCAGGAGACTGGTGATAGTAAGTATCGGCCGTCCGGGCTATTGAAGCGTATGGTTGATGCTGGGTGGCTGGGCAAGAAGTCTGGAAAGGGTTTCTATGATTACTGATTGATTGATCGATTCAATCATCTCTGTATCTATCCAAGCGAACGTTGCGATATCCCTCCCTTATATACTGTGATGTCTTAGAAATTATGTACCCCGTTTTGGTGTCTTATTGATGACTTGTTTTGGCCTGCATGTAGACTACATTTAGCTTCCGGTGACCGAGAAGTAGTCATACTGCATGCAGCAGACCTCACACATGGAAATCACGTCATTGTACGCTCAGGCTCACATTACCATCCAGGAGTTTCCAAACAACACTGAATCAGCTACGATCCACCCCCAATACCTCCGCTACCCAGACAGCAAACACATATAAAGTCAATAATTCATTCTCATAATCATAACACGCTAATTGAACACGACTAGACAAAGGAAAAGTTAAAGGAGTGTGCCGCCAAGATACATTTTCGAAAAAAACAAAATGCCTCCTTCAAGTTGGAGATAATAATAATCAATCTGTTTCTCTTTTCCACCCAAATCTCGGAGCCTAGGAAACCCTCCTAGCCCGAGTCGCCTGCTGTGGTATCAGCAGACTCGCCCGACTTCTGTTAGCGCTTCCCCCTTTCTCCTTCATGCCTTGGGTCTTTGCCAATTCTTCATCCCGCAGCCTTTCGTTGCATAGGATGGCAGCCACCACTGCGGCAAGTTCGGCCTCCTGGTCTTTGTTTACGCCGCTGTGGCCGATGATGAAGGTGAGGAAGTCGATGGGGCGTTGGCCTGGCTTGGCGCAGGTACATGACAGCCATGGATTGCGACAGAGGTTACTACTTCTCGGTTAGGATGTCTAGATACACTATGTGTGGGCAGCTGAAGGGGGGACTTACCAGACTTGTGCCTTGCACCGGCACGTAACATGATCACAATTGAACAAGAGGTCCACCAAAGAGCCACATTTGAGACCCCTCTGTGCTTTACCAAGTCGCGGATCTTCGAAGACGGCCATGAATCCTGGATCTTTCTTCCCAGTCGAGGTACTATTATTATACCCCGGGCATCTGCAGCCAGAGCAAAACGTCGTGCTGCAGTATGGGCAGCTTTGGGACGAGAGCTTGCTGTTCAGATGCTTCGGTGGAATGAACCGGCCGCACGTCGGCGCAGGACAGTACCAGCGTTCTCTGGCTGGGGTCGCATACTCCTGCACCTTGGCAAAATAGACCGTCCTCTCCTTCGGTGTTAGCACGGGAAGGATGACCTCTGTCGGGATCTTCTGCTTGCAGCATCTGGGTGGGAACAGTCCTTCCTCCGGCATAACTGTGAACACCAACTTCTTCAAGCATCTGCTGCAGTACTTGTGCTGACAGGGCATGCTGATCAGGCATTCGGCAGGCATGATATCCAAGCAGCATGCGCAGGGTCTATAAAGTGAGTTAGCGCCATTACCCAGAAGAAGGCTTGGGTGTGTATCGAGAGGGGTACTTACTCGTCGATTACCTCCCTCTTCGCCAGACGCTTTGAGAACCGCCCTCGAACCTTCTGCACAAGCCGGCTCATCTTCGACTTGTGGCGGTGTTCGTCTTCGCTATGTGACATGGTCCTCATTGAATTGGCGTCCACACTCGAGACACGATCCATTGGCAATGGCTCCGTGCTGAAAGTGCTGCCACGGGCCTCAGCCTTCTGGCGGTGTTCCGCGATGCGCTGGGCAGCGCGCGCGGCCAGATCTTTGACGTTAAATGCGGTCATCTTGATTTCCGGCATGGGTTCTCTTTCTGCGACTGGAACTGCTTCTGGCTGACCTACGAGATAGAGGCGTTGAGGGCCGTATACTTGGGGACGGGGTCGGTGATGGGGAGGAGCAGATCGGACTGGATGATTGCTGGGTGCAATTCCGGGACGCTGGAATCCATAATCGCTGGTTTCGACTTTAGAGAGTAGGGCACGAGCAACGAGCAGTAGACAGTAGTAACATAATACTTAGGTTGATGGCAAGGGTCTTTGAATGGAGTTGTAGTTGTGAAGTATGTAGGATGTAAATTGAGTTTCGTAGGAGATAATAACTAGCATAAAATCGCCGGCAGCCGGCGCGAGAGCTGCCAGGGTCTTTATAGACATCTTCGGGTTGTTTTGTTGGACTGCTCGGCATATCATCCGGGATGGCAAGAGAGCCAGACAAGAGGAGGGTGGGTATATCGCGCGACAACTAAGCGACCATGCCATGGGTAAGGCAGTCGAATGCCACATGTCCACCGCCCATTATTTGCTAGAGATACCTCTCAGACAACGCTTCCTGCTCGAGGCTTTGACATCATTCGCCCGTGTGCAGCTGTAGGGTGACCTTGAAGGGCGGGGCACCACCTGGTCCATGCTAGTTTCGCCAACCAACCGCGAGAGTACGGAAGGGATAGATGAGGACTATTGGCGACCGGGATTCGGGAGAGACGAGAAAAAGTAAGTAAACTGGCGCATGGAGCGCGACCATGCGGTTGACCGTCGGTTGAGGTTGTCGACGTGTTCGACTGCGGGGCGAGCAGGAAAGAAGATCAGGTAGCAAAGCAAAGCCCATCCCAGCCTCACCGCAACAACAAACTCACTATTTCCCCAATCCCCTCCATGACTCACAAGCATTCACTCGCTCGCTCACTCACCCTCCTTCCGATCGTCACTAAGCTAAACTAGCCACTGCCCAACAGCCGTCCGAAGGCTGGTCGTCGGTTCATGGATCGGACTCTTGCGTGGTCGAGCAGTGCATGAAAACTACTACTAGCGCTTGCTCCTACCTCTCATCAGTCCCCGAGCAATGATAAACATCATCGCCCATCCCCGATGGAAAATGACATAATGACATTGTTCTATGATTCCACTGGCTTGGGATGGGCCAACATCTTCAAGGGTATCACAGAGAATCGCTAAAAGTGTGAAGACAAAACGAACAGCATCCCCCCAGGATCAAGCCAAACAGGAAAGCAAGCAACTTTGATCAAACCCCCCGTAACACTCCAATCAATGCAAAATCCTGAACTCCACAGACAGCCATTGCCCGCTGAACTTTATATAGCACCAGTAAACTTCCGACTTGCCCAAGAAGAGCCGTGCTCTTGGTACTCTTGCCGGGTGATGGCGACTTTCCGGAGTTCGTCTTTATTAGTAGCAAATCGGGACGCTCCCAACCAGGCGGAGCGAATCGGACTGTGTACAGAATAATTGCGATCATCAGCTCGTGGTTCTTAAGAGACAGTAGTCAGTAAGTAGGGCAGCAGCTCTTACTCTTGCGGGCATTTCACCCGGACAGCGCATTCCGCGGAAGCCAGTTGGCGCAATTCCGACTCCCTGCCACCCAGTTAGCAACAAGATGCCAATCCACCAAACATATGAATCCCACACTTACAGTCTGTCCACAAATCCTGGGAGCAGCGCATTGCCACCGACGACCAAAACGTTGGCCAGAAACGCGGGATGCAGTCCGGTAGGCAAGACAGAAAGACTTTGCATGATAATATCCGGAATGCCGGCCTGCTTCATGCCAATGTCGCTGGGAGTGAACAAGATCTCCGGAACAGCGAAGCGCTCGTTGCCCAAGACCAGAGCGTCTTCCGATAGTGCTTCCGCGCTGGCCCCCGACAAGCCTCCTTTCCTCTTCTTGGCGTTCAAGAGAGCATCATGCGGTCGCATGAAGCCCTTCTTGCCTGCATTGGGGTCAGGGAGGACATAGTCCACCATCACCCCCTCGCTGGCGTCTGGCAGGCCGCGTTTCCGGTTGCCCTTCCACGTCTGTTCCATGTCGCCGACGAAGTTGTTGCTAACAAAGCAAACGGCTTCCTTAACCTCGTTCATGATATAAGTCTCGTCCACCATGTTGTACTGCCGCACTGAAACCATCTCCTTCAGGTAGTTCGTAAGATGCTTGCCACCAAGGTCGAGTCTGCGAATGGCACGTTGAAGCGACTGTCCTTTGTAGATTGGTGTCACGGTGGTGTGAGAGTAACCCGAGTCAACCACCAATAAGCATTCCTTTGGAGACACCGTCGTGTTTGCCTCCTGCACAATAGGATCCCCAAACAGCGACTGGACATCATTCCAAGCATTCATCGATGGCCCTAGATGCAATACGCGTCTTCATTAGCAATCACCCTCTCCAAGCAAACAGCTGACGACCACCTAGCATCCTTACCAACGCATCTGAGATACCCTCCAAACCCCCACTCCTCCATGACAATCTCATCCGCATTCTTCTGCAGCGCCGGCAATGCATTCGGCGCCTCCGTCAACAACAACGTCGTGTCCTCGGGATCCGTAATCCGCAGATCCTTACTGCGCACGGTTTTTTCATCGAAAAACGAGTGCTCCCAAATTTCCTTCTGGGCCTCCCAGTTCACAATGTAGCCCTTCTCAACAGGACGACGAAACATCATCTCATTCCAGTCCGTCACATGCGTGTTCAGCTGAGAGCCGACGTAGATCTTGTTGCCACGGGTCTTGACGATCGCATTGGGAATTTCGGAGCAAGCTGAAAGCGCTTTCGATTGGTCGTCTGGAGGTACAGAGTCCGGCGCATAGCCGGCTTTCAGGGTATATGCGCCATTATCGATGACGAATGTCTTGTCGGGGAGAGACTGGACCTTGGCGACGGAGGCCCTGCCGGAAGGGCGAGGTTTGGTGGTGCCCATGTTTGGAAAAGGGGGTTAGGTCATTAGAGTTGATGCAGAGGGTTTTTCGGTGGGACACATGGACAGATTCGATTAGGGAGAAAGAACGCGCGAAGATAACTGGCGAGGGGGTTGGCTGAAGATGGAGAAGTAAAGACTAAATCCAAGAAGGCCGCGACGGAGCTTTCGGTCGGCGATCGGAGATGCCAAGCTGTCGAGCTCCCAAATCGGTAAATGAGGGCTCAGGCTTAGGGCATGGATCTTGGGTCTTTCAGGGAGTGCAAGATTTATTGATACATCTATTAAGTAAGGCCTTGGTATTGCATTGGTGAGCTCTAATTCCTGTGTATACTTTCACTGGTAAGTGTCTTGCTTTCACTGTAGTGGTTGCTCAAAATATGTTCATGGTTCATACTCGATTGAGAGCCAAAAGTTATCTTTCATGCTTAGTATCGACACAACTTCAGGCAATAGAAGATGAGGGGAGAGAAATAAAAAGCGATGCCACTTGAGGGGAACTATAATATGATGTTTTGGGTCACTTACTACATTGTGAAATATTATTCGATGAAGATGTATGCAGGTGTTTTCGTAGTACTAGTAGTTACTACTAGTTACGAGTATATATTTCAGCGGACTACGTACCAAGATTGCAGACGACTAAGTGTGATTACTTAGTACTAAGAATCCACCTATACAACCATTTCATAACTGCTACTGGTATAACGCTCAAATTCAAACTGTCAGCAAGCATAATTGCAGTTGTATCTCAAACTAGAGAAGTCAATCCAACGACTAACCAGGTACATCCGCGGGCAAACCAACCAGCCGCAGGTGACCCCGCAGAACCCTAATCAGAAGGAAAGTTGAAGGCGCCCCGCAGCAACAACAATTTTCTCCGCTCGTCCAGTCCATCCGCATCGCTTTCCTTTCAAGAAAGTTAGTCAACAAACCGCCCTAACCCGAACAGCGCAATCACCTCAAAATGTCCGAGAAACTTCAGTCCACCCTGACGACCAGCTTGACGCTCCTGGAACAATTCCAGGGTGCCATTGCTTCCCCATCCAGCGATATTTCCTCCTCCACCGATCTTTCCGGAAAAGATGCGTTACCCCTCCTCTCCGCCGCGTCGACAACCCTGAAATCGCAAGTCACCAAGCTCTCGCTCCTCACGATTACTTCCCCCTTTACCCCTTCTGCTGTCACAAGTGTCATTAACGCCTTGAATGAGTCCGTGCTGCCCTCTCTGGTCGCCGCAGCACTCCTCGTCACCCCGGCCCATCACACGAAGGCGTTCCAATCCGAAGTGCATGTTTTGACCCAAACAGCACTAAAGGAAACGACAGCACTACTCCAGGAGGTCCAGACGGTTGCGAAAAAGGCGGAAGATGCTCAGAAGAAAGAAGCCGGCTTGTCGCAGTCGGAGAAGGACGTGGTCACGGTGGCGGCTGGACGCTTGTGGGACTCCTGCGACGTCCTGATTGATATTGCAGCGAAGGGTGTGGTTGGGTTTGTGGTCCGACGTGTGGAAGAATGGAGAGATCTTGTACGGGATGCAGTCCAGGAGATTGAGGAATGGGACCCCAATGAGGAGGGCGATGATTTCTTCGATGACCTTCTGAGCGATGACGGGAAGGGCAAGGCCGATGAGGATGACGAGGAGGATGAAGACGATGATGATGATGAGGATACGGCTGCTCTTCAAGAGCAGAAAAAGTCGGCTCTCCGGATCCTGAAACCAGTCTCGCAGATATACCCCACCATCTCGGCGAACCGACTAAAGAAAACTTCTGATTCGCCATCACTCGTCGGCAAGCTGGAATCCTTGATGAAATACCTGCAGCAGATCCCTGGCCATGTTGACGAGGTAGCCGGCGCGTTGTACGAGGCGAATACGGAGAAATCCCTCCAATACATGCGCATAACAAAGGACTGCGCCGTCAAGGCTGTCAATCTTGCTAGTCTTCCCTTGGATGTGACTGATTCTGCCGATGCGCCTCAGGAGAAGGAGGACAAGTTCACCACTTGGGCCAGGACTTGGCTGAAGGTCATGGACCAAGTTAGCAAGTCTGTTATTGATGCGACACAGTGAATAGGCGT